AACAATTGCAGAAATAACCAATACGGGCTTCAATTAATTTTTATGCTCAGCTATAACTAAATTTCAGACAGAAAAAAATGCAGATTTTGCCGATTTTCACCAGAATTTCATTATATTTTAGAGACTCACCTTAAAACTCTCAGGACACTTTCTTTAAGGTCTCTTCTTGCTTTTACTCCGAATCTTATGTCGATATATCGTGTCTTTTGACTTGTAGACATTTTCTCTACGTTGGTATTGATTGTTTTTTTGATTTTAGAAAAAGGGGGGGGGGGGGGGATATAAGCATTTGTTAGAGTAAGAGTTGAAAATACCTCAACGACCTTAAGCTTGATTGTGACCTTTGGGTCACTAGGGGGTCAAAGGTCAAGGTCATTTATCAAGGTCAAAGATCAAGGTCATCATAAAAAAAAAGTAAAGAGAGAGATAAACTTGAGATTAACACTTGAAGCTGAATCCAGATAAAGGTAATGAATATTTCTTTATAACTTTTTGAGTAAGGGGTCAAAGGTCAAGGTCAAAGGTCAAGGTCATTTGGATTTTAAGCTTAAATTGACAATTTTCAATGACCTTGACCTTTGACCTTGACCTATTCTTCAAGGTCAAAAGATCTCATACAGTTGGGCCCATGTCTTTACGACTTGTTTTTAGTTCTTCGTAAACATCATGAACTGGCAGGGGCAATAACTACTTCAAATGGTTTACGAATTCTTTCGCACCAATGGAATGAGAAGTGTTCTAAATTAGTCGTAGACATTGTTGAAGGTTTTGTATCTCTGCGGTTTACGGTTTCGGAGGAGTAGCGATAACAAGGGTTTACACTGGAAGGGGCACTAACTTTTAGAGGGGTCAATCTTAGGGGTCAAGCATGAAATCCCTGAAATGGTTTTAAGAGTACATATTGAAGGTGCAAAGATATTTAAAATTTGGTGAAGAACAAAAGAGCTATAGAAAATGCTTAATTTTACATATTTTGAATGACCTTGACCTTTGACATTGACCTAAATTTCAAGGTCAAAGGTCAAAGAATCTTTTGCAGTTGGCCCCATGTCTCTACGCCTTGTCGTTTAAGAAAAGATCTTGATAATCGTAAACATCGCAAACATTCAGGGGCAATAATTCATAGAAGGGGTCTACGAATCCTTTCGCAATGAATAGATCCGAAGGTCCTCTCAAGTAGTCGCAGACATTGGTAAAGGTTTCAAACCTCTGCGGTTTATGGTTTCGGAGGAGTAGCGATAACAAGCATTTCTTGCGTAAGGGGCAATAACTTTTATAAGAGTTAATGTTAGGGGACAAGAATAAAATCTTTCAAATAGTTTTAAGAGGGCATATTAATGTTGCAAAGACTTTAAGTATACGTTGAAAAATGAAAGAGATATAAAAAGACCTTAATTTCTCATTTTTGGAATGACCTTGACCTTTGACCTTTGCATAAATTTTAAGGACAAAGGTCAATGAATCTTGTGCAGTTGGTCCCATGTCTCTACAACTTCTCGTTTTAAAAATTTTTCATTATTTGTAAAATTCAAAAACTTTCAGGGGCAAAAACTCACAGTAGGGGTCTACGAATCCTTTCGCAATGAATAGATCTGAAGATCCTTTCAAGTAGTCGCAGACATTAATAAAGGTTTGGAATCTCTGCGGTTTACGGTTTCGGAGGAGTAGCGATAACAAGCATTTATTGCAAAAGGGGCAATAACTCCTTTAAGAGTCAAAGTTCATATACGCAGGGTCAACTGCGAAAATCATTTACGAAGTACATTCTTATGGTCTATAAATCTTTTCGATAAATCTTGAAACTCAAAAACACGTTTGGCGGAAAAATAATAATAATAAACAGAACAATTTCAATAGGTCTTTCCACAGAAAGGTGGAAAGACCTAATAAACACTAGTAAACTAATTGTTCAGAGAACAATGAGACGTCTTTCCACCTTTTTAAGTGTTTCAATATCATTTGGGCTGAAAAAAGTAGGAAAAAAGCAAGAAAATAAATAAAACAGCAAAATTCTCATTTCTCTACTAGGAGTTTAGATCGGGCTCGCAGTTGGTATAAATACATTCTGAACAGACTTCCTGGTTTATACGAGTCGACTCGGGGATAAGCACGAATTCATTGATCACGCAAAGAGAGCACATAAAAAACATTGTAACACGCTCCTAGGTGTATATATGAGCTTGAATGAGATTGTTTTCAAGTTAAGATGTAAAGGGTAGGGTCTGATTAAAATTATGATATACCTATTAATATGAATCACATGCATTTGATCTGCGCATCAAGACGGAAGCGTAAGTGAAAACGTTGTGAAATGTCCCATGTGTTACCTGCATCATATGTGCATTATACATGTATTAAAGAGATGTTTGAAAATATCCGATTTGAGTTGTTTTATGTTTGAAATGGATGGCGATAAATTATTTAAAAGCATGTGAGAAACAAAGCGAGAGATGCAAGGCAGTTTGTAATTATGGAAAAGGAAAACAGAGAATCGGGTTCGGGTTTAACATTCCTGACCGAAATAGGCATGAAATTCAATGTAAGTAGCATGAATAAAATTCCAAACATGTAATTCTAGATGGGAAACACAGGGAAGAAACGTGTATTTCTTTTTACTATGCTGAAAGTCGCTATTTCTTGGGATTGTGTTATTCTAGGAAAAAAAAAATCAAATTTCAGATGGAATCAAGATTCATTCCATTTATATTAAATCCACATAAAATTGAAATAAATTCCATACACTAAAGAAAGCAAGAATAATTGGTATTAAAATGTCGTAATAGAGCAGGAGAATCGAATGATATTAACAACAATTGCAGAAATAACCAATACGGGCTTCAATTAATTTTTATGCTCAGCTATAACTAAATTTCAGACAGAAAAAAATGCAGATTTTGCCGATTTTCACCAGAATTTCATTATATTTTAGAGACTCACCTTAAAACTCTCAGGACACTTTCTTTAAGGTCTCTTCTTGCTTTTACTCCGAATCTTATGTCGATATATCGTGTCTTTTGACTTGTAGACATTTTCTCTATGCTGCTGTTGATTTTTTGATTTTAGAAAAAGGGGGGGGGGGGGGGGGATATAAGCATTTGTTAGAGTAAGAGTTGAAAATACCTCAACGACCTTAAGCTTGATTGTGACCTTTGGGTCACTAGGGGGTCAAAGGTCAAGGTCATTTATCAAGGTCAAAGATCAAGGTCATCATAAAAAAAAAGTAAAGAGAGAGATAAACTTGAGATTAACACTTGAAGCTGAATCCAGATAAAGGTAATGAATATTTCTTTATAACTTTTTGAGTAAGGGGTCAAAGGTCAAGGTCAAAGGTCAAGGTCATTTGGATTTTAAGCTTAAATTGACAATTTTCAATGACCTTGACCTTTGACCTTGACCTATTCTTCAAGGTCAAAGGTCAAAAGATCTCATACAGTTGGGCCCATGTCTTTACGACTTGTTTTTAGTTCTTCGTAAACATCATGAACTGGCAGGGGCAATAACTACTTCAAATGGTTTACGAATTCTTTCGCACCAATGGAATGAGAAGTGTTCTAAATTAGTCGTAGACATTGTTGAAGGTTTTGTATCTCTGCGGTTTACGGTTTCGGAGGAGTAGCGATAACAAGGGTTTACACTGGAAGGGGCACTAACTTTTAGAGGGGTCAATCTTAGGGGTCAAGCATGAAATCCCTGAAATGGTTTTAAGAGTACATATTGAAGGTGCAAAGATATTTAAAATTTGGTGAAGAACAAAAGAGCTATAGAAAATGCTTAATTTTACATATTTTGAATGACCTTGACCTTTGACATTGACCTAAATTTCAAGGTCAAAGGTCAAAGAATCTTTTGCAGTTGGCCCCATGTCTCTACGCCTTGTCGTTTAAGAAAAGATCTTGATAATCGTAAACATCACAAACATTCAGGGGCAATAATTCATAGAAGGGGTCTACGAATCCTTTCGCAATGAATAGATCCGAAGGTCCTCTCAAGTAGTCGCAGACATTGGTAAAGGTTTCAAACCTCTGCGGTTTATGGTTTCGGAGGAGTAGCGATAACAAGCATTTCTTGCGTAAGGGGCAATAACTTTTATAAGAGTTAATGTTAGGGGACAAGAATAAAATCTTTCAAATAGTTTTAAGAGGGCATATTAATGTTGCAAAGACTTTAAGTATACGTTGAAAAACGAAAGAGATATAAAAAGACCTTAATTTCTCATTTTTGGAATGACCTTGACCTTTGACCTTTGCATAAATTTTAAGGACAAAGGTCAATGAATCTTGTGCAGTTGGTCCCATGTCTCTACAACTTCTCGTTTTAAAAATTTTTCATTATTTGTAAAATTCAAAAACTTTCAGGGGCAAAAACTCACAGTAGGGGTCTACGAATCCTTTCGCAATGAATAGATCTGAAGATCCTTTCAAGTAGTCGCAGACATTAATAAAGGTTTGGAATCTCTGCGGTTTACGGTTTCGGAGGAGTAGCGATAACAAGCATTTATTGCAAAAGGGGCAATAACTCCTTTAAGAGTCAAAGTTCATATACGCAGGGTCAACTGCGAAAATCATTTACGAAGTACATTCTTATGGTCTATAAATCTTTTCGATAAATCTTGAAACTCAAAAACACGTTTGGCGGAAAAATAATAATAATAAACAGAACAATTTCAATAGGTCTTTCCACAGAAAGGTGGAAAGACCTAAAAAACAGAAAGACAGACAGACAGACAGTGATTACTATAGGGCACCCGCAAATCCTTGCGGGGTCCTAATAATGACATCTTATCCACAGACACTGAAAGCGGGAGACCAGAATTCTTTGAACTTGCTTGTTAAAATTGTGCCAAACTTCAAAGTCATGAGGTCAAAAGCATTCAAAAAGGTCTTGTCATAGATAATGTAAAATATGGAAGCCTATCTCCAATCATTCAAAAGTATGTATTTCATCACTTGAAATGCAACAGAAATTCCAATGAAATTTATATTTGATATAAAGATACTTACCACAATTACCCTCTATAACCATGTTACCATCTGGACATGATACAATATCTGTAATTACTACTTGGTCATTCAGAAGCTTTGCACCACCAACACCCTTGCAAAAAAAAAAATATTTCATTTATTTGAAGGTACATTAGACCCCATGCAAGATTTTTTTTTTTGCTGTTTTTAAGGTCAATATGATGATTTAGCCACTTTCAAAGTACAATGTTCTGTGACAATACATGTACAACAATAAAAAGGATACTTTAAGAGGGGCTGTTGGTGCTATTGGAAGGTATGGTATAAAGTTTCATTGAAAAAGCTCAAAAGCTTCTTGTAATGAGATATCATAAAAGTATTACACACAAGCAGAATAATATGATTTCTTTCATTTGAGGAACGAATTAGACAGAAATCAATTTCTACTTGGTGTGATAATGAATTACTTTTTCAGAATTACAAGGTTTTCATTCAAATACCTGGTGAATATCACATGGTTCTTTAGAACCGGTCTCGTTAGCAAGGCTATATAAGAGGTAAATAGTGGTTTAAATGCCAGTTTAGGACAACACATAGTGCACGATAAAGTTAAAATTTCAACATGTTTTATTCAATCCAACATAAACATGTATATACAAATTGATTTTCATATTTTGCATGTTATGTACACTGTACAAATAAAGCTGCTGCGTGTCGTTGCTATGTCCAAATGGTGTGTTAGTTTTTTATTGTACTTTGAAAGTAATGAATGGATTTAGAGTAGAATATATACCGATATTTACAACCTGGACCCTTTGACATTAAAATCCAATAGGAACATATGGAGCTGTAGTATAACATTCAATCACAAAAGCTCAAAGGCTTCTCAAGATATCTTGCAGAAATATTAAGTGTTAAAACAGACAGAATTTATGTCCTTCACCTTTGACCTCAAAATAAATAGGGGTCTTCTTTAGGCCATATAGGGAGTTGCTATGTAAAATTCCAATGCAAATGCTCAAAGGCTTTTTGAGATATCTTGCAGAAACAAAAGTGTTGCAGATGGACTGACCAAAATTAATATCCCCAAATTTCAGTGAAAGTGGGGGACACAAATACAACAACACAGTGTAAATTGAATCTCAATATAAGGTATTTGATATGACAAAATAACTTACATCCACTATGAAAACAGCATCTTCAAATATTAGAACTCTGAAGACTTCTTTTGCTGTGTATGTGTTAGAACCACTCTTTTTAGTAATACTGTTTCTAAAAAAACATAAATGACAAAAAAAGCTATATATTTTTTTTATTGTATACAAATAAATTGTCTACTTATTTGATTGCAAAGGCATAATGGAAGCCCATGGGCCTTAGCAATTGCCTGAATAACATGATGAACAGTGACCTACTTTTGAAACTTAATTACCTGTATTTCAGGTTCTACTTAGCTTAGAATTATGTTAGTTAAAGCATCTATCAGTCTGAGAGTATGTCACTTGATAAGTACATAGTTTCAATTAGAATATTATGGCTTTAATTGAATACTGTAGACATACTTTTCCCGCATGGGATAAATTTACAGTAGGAATGTGGAAACGCTTCTTTAGAGGGGGGCATAAACATGTGGAAAGAGTATCTAATTGCTAATGAACTAACATCATTTTACCTTAAATTCTTTATTTTCATAGCAACTGTCATCTGTTCTTTGCCAGTAACACACTTAGAGCTGATGTCCACATTTGAGCAGTCAGAATCTGAACAGACATTATTCCAGTTCTGGTAAACGTTATCTTTAAAATCCGTCTTTAGTTTTCTTTCTATTGGTGATTCCAAAGACACATCACAGACAACGGCTAATGAAAATTTTAAGGAGACTTCTATCTGAATTTGTGTATCTGTTTTGCCTGGAGAAAAAAAGTGTAATCAAACATATAAAATCTTTACTACAAATGTATATAGTCTACAGAAAAAGGATATCACATGAATAATAGCAAAATATTGGTCAATTGAAAAGACAAGAGTTGAAATCAAAAGAATGAGTTAAATCAAAATAGAACTATTAATGTTTCAGTAATTTTCTTATTGCAGTAGTACATTTAGGATGATTTGGAACTATAAACTGAATAATCCTACAAAGGACAAGGTAAGGTAAAGGCTGATTCTGGCCCCTTATTTGATGTAAAAATCAGAACACAGTTTATATTAGGATTGTTTGTATAGTTAAGTACTTAAAATGAAGCTTGTTTTAAAACCAGCAGTATTTTGATTACAAAGAAGCCACAGTAGGATGAAGAAATGGAACATTTTCCTGCATTTCCTTAATTCTGGTGGAATTTTGTCATATTTGAGATGCTTTTCTCTTCAAGCATAGAATACAAACATAGAGTACAAGCTTGCCTATCTGAGATTTTTATACATAACATATGCATCTGATACAATGTTTATACAACATGCATCTGATACAATGTGTATGAAATATATAAATATGATGGAAAGGCAAGCTTGTGCTCTCTGTTTTCTGAACAATTGTGCAGTAAAATCGATGTTAATTTTCATCAAAATGGGAAAATTCAGAAATTGACATATTTTCTGACCTCTCTGTGTATCCCATAACTTAGAACCAATACTCATTTTGTGGCAGAGGTGACAAAAAGTTTTTATTAATAAACTGTTGCATCAGTCTAAAAGATGCCAAAAATCAGGGGCCAAAAAAGTCTTAGCCTATCTTGTCCTTTATGAAAAAAATAATTCAGAACACTTACCTCCACATGATGGCAATGCAAACTTTTGTCGTGGTTTGAGAGGAGTATACACACCAAGCTTTGAACACATCTTATATTTTGGAACTGGGATAGATAGAACTTGGTTACCAGGACAACTCAGTTTACAAATATCTTTGCTGCCTGAACAGTAACCAATGATAAGAGAGGGTGGCTTTCTTGGTGGAGGGCAATCAGCATTATCTAAAATGAACAAGTTTGTAAATCATCAAATATATTCAAGTTTCTTAGCAATATACTAAATTACACCTGATGAGGCATCAGAAATACAAGAGCCTGATGGGTCAGAACACTCTCCCTATAAGTAATGAACCTTACTGCAATTATAATGCAGTCTTGTTTTTAATACAGATGAAGTCTCAATGGATCATATGCATCTGTAGTATATATATTTCCATAGACAAAATAAGATTCAGTCAGATTAGTTTTAAAATTGGGGTAGACTTGATTGAATTGAAGTTAGTCTTAATGGACAATTTAATTTAACCTTGTAGAATGTAATAAAGTATAACTTACATTTTACATACAGCTTGCTACGGCACATGGCAGTATTTCCATTCTCATCAGCGGCCAAAAACATTAAGCTGTAATCACCCCAAGTGAAGCTGCCTGAAATATAATTTTATTCTAAAAGGGACCTGCAATTTCTTGATCTATATCCTCTTGAAACAATGGAAACTCAAGTTTCTAAATTATTCAATGATATTCTAGAATTTTTTTTGAGTTTGTCTTTACTGAAGCAAACAAAACTGATTATATTTTGATGTGGAACAAGCACAAATACAAATCTAAAACTTCCCATGCCGAAAAAAGTTATAACAAAGTTATAACTAAAGTATAACTTAGTTATACCTAGGCTCTGAGGTACAAAAAAGTTATAACTAAAATGTAACTTTTTTGGACTTCGTCATTTTCATGTATAACTAAAATATAACTTTTTGGACTTAGCCATTTTCATGTGTAACTAAAACATAACTTTTCTGGACTTTGTCATTTTCATGTATAACTAAAATGTAACTTTTTGGACTTAGCCATTTTCATGTATAACTAAAACATAACTTTTCTGGAGTTTGTCATTTTCATGTATAACTAAAATGTAACTTTTCTGAACTTAGCCATTTTCAAGCATAACCAGTATAAATGTACAAGTTTTTGGGGTTAATTAATGGATACTACTTGACACTCTTACCTTTTTTTCAAAAATATCATTATACCTAAGTGTTAATTAAATTTGAATGAATTTTGATCATCAGTTCAAAATGTTGGGTTTTCTTGTTTTTCAAACACTGCAGCAGAAAACTGTCAATTATTCCTATTTCTAATCAGAGGGAAAATTCACTAGGAATATATAGATAATTTTTTTAAGAAAAAAAGGGACTGCCTGAGGGCTCTTAGACAATATTAATTATTATTGTTTACTACCAATGATTGATTTCTCATTCATAATAAATATGCTGTTCACAGTCATGTCAAGTTCAACAGAAGGGATGGGAAATAAAATCTTGTAAATTACATCTATAAATGAGAATCTCTCTCTCTCTCTCTCTCTCTCTCTGGTGTGTAAAGTGTGAGGGTGTTTGTCAATGTGTGTGTATAATAAATATAATTGTCTATATTAAATTATATTTGTTATGTAAGATTCAACTGAAGTTGGGAAAATTTCTCTCTCTCTGTAGTCGGAAAATAGCTCTTCAGAGCTAATGTTCTTTGTTGATGTACCCACTTTAAATAAATATTATCTTCTCTCTCTCTCTCTCTCTCTCTCTCTCTCTCTCTCTCTCTCTCTCTCTCTCTCAGAAAAAACGTATTTATTGAGACCCCGATGAGACTTAATATTTGTCTTGTAAATTATAATAATGCATGTACATCTGAAGTTGGGAATAAATATTCCATCATTCTGGGGAAATATAAATGCCCTGCAAGAGATATAAACAGTAAAATGTTGTAATCCCATGAAGTCATGTGAATTTTGCACGGATTTTTCTTCGTGTGCAAAACTGTGTAAATTTCCCTATTGTTTACTGTGACACAGGTGTTTGTACTAGGTGACCTTTGTGGTCAGCAATTCGTAAATTTCAGCTATGTGTATTATGCAATGGTACAATTCTACACAGGTTCTTTGAAATCTGAAGAAAATCAGTCGTAATATGGGTGGCTAGAAAGATAAACAACAGCATAGAGTATATGCAGGTTTATTTTAAACAGATATTACGATGTTGGAAATAAAGACTGCCAGTTATGTAAACATTTAAGCAGAGGACTAGTACATGTAGATTTTATTGTTTGCATAATTAAATAACCCAGTTATAATAGTTATTTTCACAAATAAACAAATGTTAAATCAAAAATGGCGGCGACGAAAAAATATGGCGGCCCCCGATGTCCGTTTTGTTGATAGAATAAACTCAAAATTTTAACATCAACTGGTGTTTTAATATTCAAATTAAGTTTTAAAATGCACAATTATGTTTATTTGGATCTAAAATAAATTAATTATGAATTATTTATTTAATTTTTTCCTATCACGTGACGTTTTTGAGGTCTATGATTGGTCAACAACAGAGCGCGGATTTTTTAATGGACGATTTGAATGTTGTGATGTTATTTGAAAGTGTTGATAGAAAAAGGAGATAAAACCAGTTGGTAAGGCGATATTTATGCTAACATTTAATGATTTTTGGTAAAGAATACTTAGTACCTCTCGAAGAACAATACAAAAAGAAGAAATATTGGGAATGAACAAAATTCTAGGTGTGTGAATCTTGTATTTCTTGTTTGTTTTGATTTTTAATGGTATGTCAAATGACAAACAATGAAGCAAAGAAATTGAAAGTATTTGAAACACATAATATTTTTTCAGCATTTAGTATAATATTGATAAAATATGTTGTTCTTTGTCACATCTATTCCCAAAATTGTTTTTAGATTCCCTGAACTGTTATAATAATGTGAAGCCTTGTTAACATCGATGTGATTATGACATGATCTATAGCTGCAATGTTAATGTAATGAATTGAGTAATTTAAGATTAATGTTCTATTTTTTTTTATAAAAGCAGCATACTGGCGTATGATTTTTCCATGAGCATCTCTGACTTATGTGCTGACCTGGAGTGAAATTCTTCAAAAAATATTATGTGCTCAAGGTAAGTAAAATAATATTTTTTTTTCATTTCAAAATTCAATAAATCTATCAATCTAACACTAATTCCTGTAAGTATAGATCTTTAATTAGTCTTGTTTTCCATGTTATGGATGAATTAATGAATTAATTGATATGAAAGAGTGGTTTCAATTTGATATTCAGGTGGAAATATCTAAATTTTGAACCTTTACAATTTTTTTCAGAATTGAAGAAAAATGATTTGAAGGTTGAAATTGCAAGCATATTTCATCGAAAACGTTGACGACTACGAGTCACACTGCCTGCCAGCCAAGACGTCTGACCAGCCCGGTCCCTAAATGAGGGACGCAGACCACCAGCTAAGTCCCTCGGGCAGCTCAGCTGACTACCAGTGCGGCCTGTCAAGGGATGACCAAGTCCATCAACTAGCTCGGCTGACTACCAGTGCGGCTTGTCCAGTCCTTCAACTATCTTGACCAATGCAGCCTGTCATTGAAGTCAAACTAGATTGGCTTACTACCAGTACAGCTTTTCAAGGGAGACGGTCAAGTCCATCAACTAACTTAACCTACTATCTGTCAAGGGATGGCCAAGTCCGTCAACTAACTTGACCAACTACCAGTGCGACCTGTCAAGGGATGGCCAAGTCCGTCAACTATCTTGACCAACTACCAGTGCGGCCTGTCAAGGGATGGCCAAGTCCTTCAACTAACTTGGCCTAATATGATCGTTGCATGTCAAGGGTGGCTCTATTTTGAAGTACAGCAAGATCATGAATAAATAAGGTGTTAATATTTCAAAAGTTAAGTCTATTTATACAAATTAGCAAGAGTAGAATGCAGTATGCTAGGTAATTGTACAAAGACCCTAATTGCTATATGCTAAAAATTAATTCTATAAAACAACCAGAGAAATTTCAATCTGTTGAAGATGACATGATGAAAAATAAGGTAGACTTGAAAACATGTATGTGCATTCATTCAGTTGTATTTGACAATGAGCCAAGCTATCTTTATCATGTTTATTAAGTAAAATTGTAATTGCCTTTAATTTGTTTTAAGTAATCTTTTTTGTATAAATTTCAAAAATCTCTTTGTATAAATTTTAATGAGTATAGCTTTATAAAAGCTTATAATTGAGTAAATCCACAACGGGAAGTGTATAACTTCACTGGAACTTTTACATAAGTTTTTATTAATAAGTATAACTTTTTATAGTTATAACTTTTTGTAGTTATAACTTTTTATAGTTATAACTTTTTTGTAGTTATAACTTTTTTTAGGTATAACTTTTTTAAGGTATAACTTTTCTGTAACTTTTTCGTAATTTTCCTGGGGTATAACTTTTTTGTAACTTAATTTTTCATAACTTTTTGATAAGTATAACTTTTTTTAGTTATAACTTTTCCTGGGTATACCTTTTTTCAGGTATAACTTTTTTGTAACTTTTTCATAACTTTTTTCGGGTATAACTTTATTGTAACTTTTCCACTGTTTATTTGGGTATAACTAAAGTATAACTTTGTAACTTTTTTATAACTTTTTGTGTAACTTTTAATAAGTATAACTTTTCGTAGTTATAACTTTTTTTATAACTTTCACGCACTTGCTGTATTTATTTTGAATAAAAGGTGAAAAGTTAAACAAAAGTTATAACTTTTTTGTAACTAAGTTATAACTAAATTATACCTCACTTAAAACATGTGGTTCCAAACTCCGATAACTTAGTTATAACTTTTTTGTAACTTTTTTTAGTTACAAAAGTTATAAATAAGTTATAACTTTTTTCAGTATGGGTTACCGTTAAAGTGTGCCCCCCCCCCCCCATCCCTCCCCTAATAATTTATCAAGGCCTATAGGCCACAATGGTCACCTGAGTAATTTGGTAGTATGTTTCACTTTCCAAGACATTTGCAGTATAGTTTTAATGTTGTTATAAGAAGATCTATAAAGTCAATGCCTAACATTTCTCCATTGACAGCTTTAAATGAGGTTGTTATGTACACCAATCTGTTTTGCTTTATCTGATTAGTCAACTGTACAAAATAGACCTTTCCTCATCCATTTCCTTGCAAGATTGGGTGAAATTGGCCTAGTGGATTTGAAGATTTAAAGGTAAGAGATACAGACAGAGAAAGGAATTGACAGATTAAAGTATTTTATACAAAATACTATCAGAAAAGTTCACTTTCAACTCTGGTGCGTTAAAAAAGAGGCTTTAATGCCAAACTAACCTTTATGTGAGATCAGGGACTGACTTTCATTGAAATTGTCAAACATAGAACTAATAGTTGGCAGTTGATATTCAAAGACTCTTTTGCTAGAGCTTCTTGCATCATCAACAGGACAGGCTTTTATCTTTGGTTTAATCTTATCTGCAAAAATATTACAATTAATGGTCAAAAAACCATTAAGGAGGCTAGGTGATCAACAAATTATTTTTTATTAACCACCAGATATAACTTAAATTTTAGGATATGATTTCTTAAGCTGTCAACTATCATTTGGCAAAGAAAAATTTCATCAGTTCTTATTTTAAAATTTGATCATTTTTTTTTATATCTTTATATGGAGCTCTTCTTCTAAAGGAGATTAAAATAGTCTAAAAATGGCCACTACCACCCAGCCTCTTCAAGGTGCAATCAACAATTACAGGTATTCCTCAATTTTAAATAATGAGGAACAACTAAATTACATTTATAAAGTGTCAAGAAGACTGTTACATTGCATTTATTCAGAAAAACAACTATGTGTCATTCATGTTACATACCTGATGGTGAACAAGCAGGAACATCACAGATACTATCATTTTCAATCTGTGTCGTGATCTTCTTCATAGCTCCCTTGTTCATTTTGTAATTGTACCAGCCATGAATGAGAGTAGCTCCTGCAGGTTTATGATTCCTGTCACTTGAAAGCCTTAACATGTCGGCATTTGCAATACTGCTGTTCCAGAATTTTACCTGTGATATCCTACCTCCATATCTCTTCCCAATTTCTATGTTAAATCTTAATAAAAAGAACAAGATATTTCCTATATATTCGTATGGAAAACATTGACCCCTGTTGTGACTTTCCCTAGGCCTAGAGGTCTTGATTGGAACAAATTTGAATCAACATTACCTGAAGATATGTATACTTTGATAAATAGTATAACTATAATAATAAACTTGAGAGCATCACCTTTGGTAAATACCATTTACTTCTAAAACAAGAAAGCATACTGTAGACGTACATTTTTCCACGGGGTCATAATTATTCCGCCGATTCTCAATTTTTGTTTAATCCGCGGGTAGAAAATTACGCGGATTTTTTCAGATTGTCACTATAAGCATTACATTTACATTAAGTACACTTGGACAAATTTCCGTGGAAAATTTGTGACCGCATACATAGCGTAAATTAATACCACGCGGAAAAATGTACTACAGTACATTTTTAAATAACTCCTTATTTTCAGAGAGATGAGGAACAGACTACCTTAATCTTATAATTAAGCTACAAATCCTTACACTGAATAGAAAACTACTAAATAATCTTACACTTTTGGCAGTTTGAAGGCAACAGAGCTGCTGTCAAAAACAAGTAGCCCAGCTTTCACATAAACTGTTGTCTTGCCATCTCTCCTCCATGATACAGCAATAAAATTCCATTTAGTACCATCATCAATTCTTTCTAGGCTTCCATAGTATTCAAATTTTACTGAATGAGAGCTTGTTCCGTTCATGAAGGTGATACTGTTATTCTTGATTTCTATGAAATCTCTGAAAAAAATCAATTATTTCATAAAATAAGGCAGTCAAATATTGTCATGTCAAACAATTAAATAAATAAATAAGATTGTACAATAATTTAATAGCAATCAACTCACTTATTATATTAGTTATATAAGTATGTGCTTGTTATGAAATAAAGCCATGACAAGTATTATCAGAAGTCTCTTACAGACTGTAGCTCTATATGTCTGTTCTTATAAAAGAGAATTCCTAACACAGCTGTAAGCCTCAATCTTTCACATAATTGTCTTTTTTAGAAAAGCTGGACCAATAGGCATTTCATGTGTAAATTTGTTATTATACAAGAGTTTTTTCATCTTTTACTTTATTCCTACCTATAATGACTTGCAGATATATCCTTTCATTGCAAATCAACAAATCACAGTTGATGTTTGCATGGCGATGACAAACACTTTCCCATTATCAAAATACCCATATTGCAAACAAATCCAATGATCAGTGCATTTAATAACAGTTTGAAGAAGGCACTCCTTAAGTTTTATTCCCAACAGATACTTGATACTAGTGAACTGAACAACTTGTCTTTTATCTCTTTAAAACAAATTTCTCACATTTTAAAAGGCATTGCAATATTATCTAGCATCATTTGAAAATTATTTTTAAAATTCTGATAGATGTTTATAATGAACAAATTAACACATTTAACAATATTTCAGTGAACTTGCCCATTGGTGGTAAGTAAAAGACTTAATTGCCTATGGGTATCTAATGATAATGCAAATTACATCAAAATTAAAGCTGATAATGGGTTCAATTGAGTATGCTTAATCTACATCTGCAATGAGTAATTCCTAAGAAAATAACCCTGCATACAGCATCTCCTTATCATTTCTTTAACTCTTGATTAATTGAACGATCGTAGTTAAATAACATAGAAAATACATAAAGCATTTACTATACCTGATTCTTAACAATACAGCATCTTCTTTTTCCATGACATTTTGATCTTTGTTAAACTTCACCATCATCATAAAGGACAAATCAGAATGTTCTGGGTCACCAGGTAACACAGCTGTGGTAGAGGCCCCCTCCTCTCCCATTTGAGTATCAAAATAAATATCAAAGTCATCTGATGGAACTAAAAGAAAAACAAATTATTAAAATGTATATTATATCAATAACTAATTTAACTGTTTTAGTTGAGGAAAGTGAATAGAGGAAGCTGTCCTCTTGCAGTTAAACTAGGGTTGCCCTAATAATGCAGTGGTTAGAGGGTTTGCTTCAGAGTCGTTGATAAGGATCAATTATGTTACAGGTTCAAATCCTACTGCAGGAGGTAAAGTTAGAAACATAAACTGTAGTAGAAACAGCATTTTGAAAGAATTTCTCTGATTTTTTTTTTTACAAGAAGCCCATGGGCCACAATGCTCAACTAAGTTATTTTGGCCATGCTGTTATTCATCTGATTTCTCCTTTGTATACATATATTCTATGTAAAATGTTAATTTGATTTTGAGGCCACTTATTCTATATACAGGGGCCACACTTTGATTTATTCACAAAGTCCCATTTGTTGTAAGGAACACTTGTTTCCTTATTTCCAGATAAATCTTTAAACTTTCCTATCCTTCAATAAGAATGTCATTTTCACTGAAGTACTTGAAAATACCTAATAATCATGATAATGAAACTTAACAGCAGAAAAACTTTAGAAGCAGAAAACTACTTGTTATTCTGTCAAAACACAGTGAGGATGGGGCATTTGAATATGTAGGATGTAACTATACACAATACACATGTGTCAATTTATAGATAAAGACTAGGGGTGGGACAATACACACATCTTGCGATACGATACATATCTCGATATATTGGCACGATACGATACGTATCTCGATATTACAAGAAATTATAAAACTATTCAAAAGAATTAGTATTTTATTTCTTTTTTTGTCTTGACATTGAATCCATAGGTTATTCTATATCAAATCATGTTTGCTTTGAAATTAATACTTGAAGTTCATCAATTTCATTTACTAAAACTTTACAAAAACAATAATACATGTACATACTATCATTACCAAATTACTATTCAGAAGTTGTTTACAAATAGTTGTGTACATGTAGTTTATCAGAGAACACTTACTAAAAATTCATTTAAAAAACATCGATCACATTTACATTTTTATTAATTCATTGCTGAAAGTCTGTAGCAAAGTTGAGATTACAAAAAAAGTACAGGATGGACTAAAAGTTAATAATATCAAATGTTCTGGAAACAATATTTTCTTTGTATAGCACGCATTACATGTACATACTGAACTTTTTTTGTCCAATCTTCCAAGGCTGCTTAAAAATGAAAACGCTTTACCCCTAATCAATGACTTATTAGTTCTACAGTGTGTTTTCAATATCAACATCATCTCCTCGCTTCGTACAAGCCGCCATTTTCCAAGGACAGGTACTTTCATTTTCAATATTTGGATAGGTCGTTCGTGTATCGTTTTGTACCGATATTTGAATGCTTGTATCGTAAACCGTATCTTGGAGGAAAATATCCATATGTATCGGTGTATCGGTATATCGTCCCACCCCTAATAAAGACCTACTTTTACAAACTATATTCTCTGTGAATATTTTTCCCTCTGGACAGTAACAACCAATCTCCTCATTGCACATTGCTTCAGATCCACAACTCAAATTGGAACAGCGGGTAACCTTAGTTTGACAAGTCCCTCCAGAATAGCCTATATAAGAAAACAATAAAATGTTTTGTTTTACTCAAGATTCTTTTCCTTAAAATATTTAGAAATAATAATTTAGTAATTTAGGTTGATTATATTACATTGACAGGGTGCCATAAAGGGTGCCTGTGTATGCATGTATTGGAGGGGGTGTTTGTGCACCCACACCCTACCGACAAAAAAGTCCCTTACCAGTTTGACAAGCGCAATTAAAGCCTCCAGCTGGCAGATTTGTACATGTTCCTGTACTAGGCATGCCCTCATACAAACAATTTGTTGTTCCCGTGCAAAAGTCTTTCAACAACTGACAGGAATCTCCAGAATAGTCTAAAAAAAATATTTTTATATTATTAAGAATTGACATTTTTAAATACCGTAAAATCTTTTTTTTTGTGGGGTCTAATTTTCACGGTTTGAGAAAACTATTTTTTGTGGGGTTTTAATTTGTGGATGAAGTTGTACTGAGTTGTTACATGAAAATATTGCTCCGT